AGCGGGAGGGGACAGAGACCGGCTGGCGTCCCAGCCCCCACCTGGACACTGCGGGGCCAGGACCACGACGCTCTGCTAGGCCTCCCTACGCTCCAGCTATTTCCCGCCCTGCTCCTCCTGACGTGGAGTGAGAGCCAGGGAAGAGTCAGAGAGGTGTGGATTTTCCTCTAGGAATTTGTATATTTTTTTAAAAAGCAAGCAAACCTGGAAAAGCTTGGGACAAGCCCAGCTAATTTTAGTTTCTAATGAAAACAGCAGGTGGCCGAGAGGATCTGATCTCCCTGGCAGGGCCAGGGCCCTCCAGCCTTGCAGACCGCAGGCACGGCGGGCACACGAGGGCCTCCCGGGAGGACCCCAAAGGATCTAAAGCCCCCCTTCCTGAAGACCAGGCATGAGCTGTCTGGCAGGGCAGCCTGGGCTGGTGGCGTAACCTGACTGACGGCCCGGCTGCAGCGAGTCGCTGTGGCTGGGCCAGCAGGTGTCAGGTCGCCAAGCCTGTGCTCAGCAGTAGCGGGAGCCTAAACGGGGGCAGCGCAGGACAGGTTAGGAGACCGCCAGCCCGGGCCTGCGGAGGCCGCGCGGCCCTGCAGCCGGCACTGACCACGCTCAGGCTTTCTATCTCCTCCAGAAAGGACTTGTACTGTGGACACTTAAGCCCAGACTAGCTTCTAGGTCAGCAAGTGGCGGGCATGTCTCTGGGGGAAAGGTGAGCCACCTTAGGGTGCGGGGAGGGGACTCCCAGGGCCTGGGACCCCGGGCCTTGCCCCTGAACACACTGAAGGCTTTTCCTCCCCTCACCTCACTCTTCCTTACCCTGAGCAGAGGTGAGCAGAGGGGATCTAGTCAGCACAGAGCTGTCCATTTACGCTGCGGGCATTCTCTGATCATGCTGAGCACTGAGGAGGCCACAGACGTGACACTGAGGGTGGCTTCTGACCCCGTGGCTGGAAGCACTGTAGCCTCGTGGGGCTACAGTGGGGTGGGGGTGGGGGGAGGAGAGAGAGTCCAGATGGGCGCTGGGCTTTCATCCAGCTTTGCCATTTACTGCTGTGTTACCTGGGCTGGGTCACACTCCCTCTCTAGGCCTCGGTGTGCTCATCCACAAATGAGGCCAGGCACTCTAACCAGAGTCCAGAACCGGCAAGCAGTGTGGGCGAAGGCCTGTGAGCCCCGGGTACTAAGTCTTCGCCCACCCCCAGCTCAGAGCCCCAACTCTTCCCCAGCAAAGACCTGGGATCTGGGAGAACCAGGTGCGGGTGGCAAGGCCTCATGTGGCAAGGAGGGGACAGCTGCTAGGGCAGAGACAGGGGAGGTTTCGGGGTCGTGGGCACTGGTGCCAGCCCTGGGGCAGGGACACTCCAACGGAAGAGGTTTCTCAGCTTCTTCCTGGAAGCTGTCCCAGTGACTCACGGCCGTGGCAGCCCAGCAGCTCACCCCTAAGTCCCCACCACTATTATTTCAGCCGGTGTCCCCTCGCTGAGCTCTGCGCCTGGGAGCTAGGATGGGGAGGGAGCGGCTCCTCCATCAGTGGCTGGGCTCGTGGCAGCCTGGCGTGAGCCTTGCGACCCCACTTCTGGCCGAAAGGAGAAGCACCACCTCCGGCAGGGAAGGCTGTCCAGACCGCTCTTTTACTGTACCCGTGAGGACACAGCTCCGATGGGCAGACTTGCCCAAGGCCACACTGTGGGTGGGTAGCTCAGCCAGACCTCCCAGCTGGCCCCCCAGAGAACCCCTGGCCTGATCACATCCCTTCACCAGAAGCCAGGATCCAGCGCAGTCCAGCCTGGCCCGTGGCTTGGATGCAAAGGGAGCAGTGGCTGCGACAGGAACGGGCTAACCCTGCCGACCCACCCCTCACAGGCCCCTCTTCAGGCCTCTCCGAGAGGCCAGCCCTGGTGTCTGGGCAGGAAAGGATCCAACTTGAAGCCAATGCCATGTCCCCTCACCAGTTACCTCCTAAACTGCCAAACGCGGACCTGGCCCAAGGCCAGTAGCTGGGCTCTTGGCGCCCCCTGCAGGTCAAGAGAGCCAGGTGGGCCACGCTCAGCAGGCTGAGGCAGGGGCGCACCCAGTCAGGTCTGAGGGACCCAATGGGCACGGGCCAGCTCCAGATGCACCCTCGCCCTCATCCTCCATCATCTTCCTGCCCTGGAAGGGGGGGCTCGGGATCCCAGGCTTTGACTGGACACTACGCATTTCTGTGCTTCCCCTGGGTAAGACCCAGGAGAGGCCAAATCCCCCCACCTCCTCCCCAGGATTAGGGGAGAGTGAAGGAAGCTGGAAGGCCTCAGCACACTGCCAGGCCAGCGAGGGCTCAGTGGCGGTGCAGCTATGCCTGGCCGGCGAGAGCCAGGTGTGCCCACCTCAGCAAATGACGCTGCTTTCTCCAAGCAGCCCTCTGGGCGCCCACCGCAGCCCCGCCCCCAGTTAAAGGAAACCAGACTCAAACAGGACACACAGCAGGGGGTGACTCCCAGAAAGGGGGGAGGGGGTTCCCCCCTGGACTTCAAAGAAAGCAGCACCAGTGGCTGCCCCAGAGCTTCCCCTAAAGTACTCCTCGGGCCAGTGTGAGCCTGGCTTCACGGCTACTCCTGGGAACATGTTAAAGGCCCAGGCGCCCACCCAGTCCTGCCTGGGGTGGGACCCGGGCACCTGGCCTCTCTACAAGCCCCACAAATGTGTCGGTACACAGCCCAGTTTGAGAACCATGCTCGAGTCCAGCCCACGTGCTGCCCGTCCTGCCAGGAGGCGGCCTGCCCACCTGCCCGTGGCCACATCCTCAGGCCGGACAGAGCCCGCACCCTGCTCCCTGCCCACGGGCGGTCCCGTCCCGAGGGGCATGAAAGAGCACTGTCTCTACCACAGCTCTGGCGCGCGGCAGGCCTGCCCCCTCCCCAGAGCTGCACACAGGCCCGGCACTTAGCCTGCCTCTGCCTCAGTCTCCCCCTCCACAAAATGAGGGTTCGCTGGTTTGCTGAGAGGATTAAATCAACGCCAGTACTCGGCCCAGTCCGTTCGAGTTCCATTCGAGTTCAGTTCACTCTTTTTATTTTTAGCATCGTAAAAATTTCCCCTATTTTTTCAAATATGCTCAACTTCTTTCAAGGGTAACTAAGATAACAGGTTCTTCCATTTTTCTTTCCTTTTTAAAACTGAAGTAGCATTGTGTATTATAATTTATGAAAGTTTGGGTGTATACTGTTACATTTCAAAAAGTTCTCCTCTTTTAAGTATAACTTCCTGTGCGCTGCTCTGTGGGGCACTGTTCATTCATCCACCATCAGGGTCTCCAGCAGTGAGCTCCTGCCTGCTTTGGGTCCAGGGCAGACGGCTGGTCACACCAGGACCCCGCTGGCTTCTGAAGGCTGTCCCTTCCCCCTGCCAGGGCCAGTGGTCTGCTCCCCACAGCACAGCTGGAAACCCTGAATCCCAGAGTGCTGCGCTTCCTTGGAGGCTTCTCTGGACAAGAAACTTGGGCCCCCTTCTTTACAGCATCTTCCCCTTACTCCCCAGAAGCCCCCGCCCCAAACAACAGAGGCCTGGCCCACGGCCTCTTCTCAGAGCTCCTGATCTGCGAGGCCAAGGCTGCAGGGGAGCCAGGGTCTGCATTTCCTCCTGAGAGGAGGGGAAAGGCCCCTTGGCATTCCGTTCACCTGTAAAATGAGGGGTATGGGCAGACCACCTTCAGGACACATTCTCTGCACTCCCTGCTCCCCCAAGACCCCAGAAGGCTGCTCTATGCACCCCACCCTGGGAGGTGTACTCCCACTGAACAGGTGGGAAAAGGAGGAGGCCTTCCACTCTGCTCTCCTTTGCACAAGCATTAGGCTGCCGCTTGTGCACCGACTGCGCGCACTTGGCCCTGAGGGAGGACACCCGGTGGGAGAGGAAGGCCAGGGTGGCGAGTGGTGGCTGGCACTAAAGCCACGGAGTCATCCGGCCCTGAGCTGCAATCCAGCTCTGCCCTTACAAGCCAGGTGACCTCAGCACACCTGAGTTCTGTCAGCGCTACCGCTTCTGTAGAGGAGACCACGTCTTCCTCACAGGACCCTTCTCGGGCTCTGCTCCCACCCATCTGAGCAGTTCTGTCTTGCTCCCAGCACCCTTGTTTCTTGACCTAGAACTAATTAGACAGGCTGGAGCCTTCCTGAGCCCTCCACCAGTTGTGCAGGAGGGGTCGAAGGGCTTGAAGCTCAGCTCGGCACTCGCTATCGCGTCACCTAGGCACATCGCCCTCAGCCTTCAACTTGGAACCCATCAAGTGGGCCAAGGATTTCTGCCGCAAGGCTTTGGGATGAGGCTGCACGAGGGCGCCGCCTCTGGGGCAGAGCCCGAGGCGCAGTAGGTGACCAACACCAGTGTGCTCAGTGCCCTGCTGAGACGGACTGACACACTGGAGCCTCCTAGAGAGCTGACCAGCCACTTAGGCCACAACCGCGAGCCAGCAAGCATGCTGCCCACCCTCAGGCTACGAACTCCAGGGCTGAGGAGACAGCACTTTGCTTTTAAGGCCCCTCTTCCCCAGCGCCCCTGGGGAAACACCCTCCCCAGTCCTCCAGCCTCACTGACCTCCACGTCCCACTCCCAAGTGCTGCACACAGACACAGTCTTCTCCTGGTGGCCCTGGGGTGTGACTGGCAGGATCTTGATCTCACACTGGGGCAAGAGGGTGCGTGGGAAGGGGGAGGCAAGAAAAGCATGGGTACAATGGCTCAGACGCTCAGCTAGAGGGAATCTCGACCTGGCCCAGCGCTGGTGCAGGGGCCCCCCGGGTGGGGAGGGCCCCAACAGGAACCCCGTCAGTGATCCTCCCCCTTTCCTGCCTGCTGTGCCGACAGCAGGTGGAGGCCTTCTTGTGCAAGATAACGGGCAGATCTAGAGAGACGTGGCCAGCCAGGCCCCCCGGCGGGACCAGTCAGACCCCAGAGAGCCAGACTAGGAACGAAGAGCAGACAGGGGCACTGCGGCACACCCCACCCCCACCGTCTTCGCAGGTACCTGGCCAAGCTGTCGTCGGTGGGAAGCATCTCAGAGGAGGAGACGTGTGAGAAGCTCAAGGGCCTGATCCAGAGGCAGGTGCAGATGTGCAAGCGGAACCTGGAGGTGATGGACTCGGTGCGCCGCGGAGCCCAGCTCGCCATCGAGGAGTGCCAGTACCAGTTCCGGAACCGGCGCTGGAACTGCTCCACGCTCGACTCCCTGCCAGTCTTTGGCAAGGTGGTCACGCAAGGTAAGCTGTCGCAGAGTGTCCAGGCGCAGTGGTACGGAGACCCAGGAAACACCACCAGCTCTCAGGCGGGGAATCACGTTCATGAATGGCGGGACAGTTGGGCACGTGAAAACAGCAGGCGTCGGAGGCTTAAGGCACCCAGGCGGAGGCTGGGAAGCAGGCAGTGGGGGGTGGTGAGGATGCCGTTTCAGTCCCCGTAGCCCTCCACACTGTGGAGCCACCTTCCTGCCTTGCAGAAGGAGCCCTGGCTCAGGCAGGGGAAGGATGAGGGTGCCCGGGACACTCGGAGGATGAACTGCAGAATCAGAATCCAGCCTGGCTCCAGCCACACTGCTTTGTCTGAGGCCTGGCTCTCTTGTAAGTGAGCCATATTGGGAACTCGCCACGCGGGGTCCTGAGAACAGCACCCGGCTCCCGTCCTCCTGAGTGGCCGTGGGGATACAGGCACATCCATAACCACAGCTCGGGAGGGGTAGTGGTCTGCACAGCGTTTTAAATAGTACTGAGTAGTATTGATTCAGCTGGCCCTAAGATGGGCTTCCATATTGCAAATGAAGAAACTGAGGCACAGAGAAGCTGAGTGACATGTCCAAGGTCACAGAACTAGAAAGCGGCAGGTCCAGGGCTTGCACCCGGGCCATCCGGCACCAGGCTCCATGCTCTGACCCACGATGGGAAAACGCAGCAATGGGGCAACAACGGTGGGCCCCGCCCCTAGCCAGAGCTGGGGTGCTGGGGAAGGCTTTCCCGAGGAGGCAGGCGCTGCGTGCTGCGCTGAGACAGGAAATCTGAGAAGGCAGTAAGCCAAAGGAAGGGGGCCAGCGCATAGAAAACGTTCCATGCAACTGGAAGGCTCCTGGAGAGGGCGCCAGGTCAAGCCGCTAACCCTCGAGGAAGTGCTAACCCAGCCGCCTCCTTCTCTACTTCCTGACCGTGAAACTGACACTCCCGAGCCACCGAGCGTCCACAGGGCTCTTCCACTTGCTGGGCGGCAGCGAGGCGTTGCCTGGGCCAACCTTTGTCTTGGCACCTGTGGTTCTGGACGGCTAAGGCTGCTGGGCTTGTGGCAAACCGTTTGGATGTTGTTGGAAACCAACCGTGATAGAAATTTGGAAGCCATTCTCCTGGGAGCTGGCACAGGCCAGCGAGGCACGGTCATGCTTGGCATTGCTGAGCACTGCTGTTCTGGAGAGGCGGCAGAGACGCGCGGGCGGACGCGCGCCGAGGAGCCCCAGGTCCAGGAAGCCAGTGCAGCTAGCGCGCATGCGTGCGTGCCTGCGTGCGTGTGTGCACGTGGGCGCACGAGAGTGCGTGCGTGCGTGCGTGCGCAAGTACGTGGGCGCATGAACGAGCGTGCGTGCGTGTGCGCAAGCGAGGCGAGCGAGCGTGCGAGAGGGACTCGAAGGCAGAGCCCGAGGACGGGCAGACCCTGGCGCGGAGCGGGGCTGGTGCTTGCGTGGGCGGGTGGAGAAACGAGCGGGCTCGCGCGGCCCGGCCCTTTCGCCTCAGACATCCAGCCAGCCTCCGCCACTCTCAGCGGCACCCGCCACCCCCACCCAGTCTTCCGTCTTCCCAGCTCCTGCGAACCAGCCGTTGCTCTTCCCTCGGGGCCACACTCTTCTTCGCTCAGGCTGAGGGGCTCGGGGGTCGTTTTATGTTCTGTCTTCTCAGCCCTTTAGAGAGGTTGCAAAGATAGCACAAGCCGTTCCCGTGTACGCTTTCCCCACATTCACCCCTGCTCACTTGGGAACCCATTTGCCATAGCCATTTTTCTCAGTCCATCCTGTGGCTTTCATGACGCCTTTTAGATGGACTGTGATGCGCGGCTCCCCAGTCTCAGCCCCCACCCCTAACCCCTTCCATCTTCAAAGGCAAGGTGGTGTCGCACTGCCTGTTGCCAGCTCACGGCACAGCCTGGCGTGGAGGACAGACCTAGGTACCGTCCAGTCACAGGAAGCGAGCCTGGGCAAGGGTTCGAGGCAGCAAAGAAGGGGATGCACAGTCAGGTGTGGCCTGAAGCCCTGGGGGCCCCTGTGGGGAAGCACCTTCCTCGTCTGTCTGCAGCGGGAGCTAAAGAGTGGGGCCAGCCTGGGTTCAGCGAACCTTCAAGAATCTAAGGACCCTCGTGGGCTCAGTCTCCGTCTGGGTAGCTTGGTCAAGCGTCCTGTCAAGGTGGCTTCACCCCAGACCAGGCTGGTGTCAATCTTTGGAAGCGGACCTGAGCTCTTCCCAGGCATCTAGCGCCTCCGTTTTTATAAACTCCCGTGGAAAGTCTTTGTCTCCATTAACAAGAGGAGGAGGGGCTTGTCCCTCCCAAGGCAGAGTGTTGTTCTCAGAAAGCCTGGGGGCGGGTGTGGCAGGTGGCTGGAGCGTGGGCAAGCGTGACCTGGAGCAAGTGACGTCACCCTCATGCCGTGGCGTCCTCCCATCAGAGACCAGCACGTGCCCGCACCAGAGAGCTGTCACCAGGATTCACTGGTGTCTATGCATGCACTCAGTGTGGACCCCGAACACCACTGGCACCAGCAGAGAAGGCCTTTGTCAGTGCATAGCTCCTGAGTGGGAGGCTTAGCCAGGGTCCACCTAGCAGTTGCCTGGCTGGGGTCACAGCCCCAGACTTGGAAGAGGCCAGAACTATTAGACCCCCACAAATCCCCCATCTCCCTCCCAGCCTCCACGTGGGGACAATCCAGGACCATCTTCTGGGATTCCATGCAGGATTCAGAGATGATGCCTCTGGTGACTCACCTCATGGGGGCCCCGGGAGGGGCAGCTCCCTACTGCCTGCATGCCCTGGGGTCTCACAACTGCCAGCTTTGCCCTCCCTCCACCCCTAGCAGGGGAGGTCACTCTGCCCCTGGCCTACAGAGGCAAGAGGAACACTTAACAGACAGGAACGTGAGTCAAGGCCCAGCCAGGTGCTGTAGGCTGGAAATCTACAGAAATTTGGCAAAGATGGCATCAGGGAAGCCAGGAACAGCAGCAGGTGGTCAAGGCCAGAAGGGGGATGGTCCTGTGGTGCCAGTGCCGAGAGCAGCACCTACACAGAGCAGGCAACTGAGAAAGACTTGAGTGAGTGAGAAGGGTGTGAGGCTGGGAGAGATCATAGAGCCTGGTCAAGGCTGCAGTGAGCAGGACTTGCTGGGGTCTCGGAGGGGCCGACCCAAGCAGGATGGCAGAGGTGGCCACGCAGATCCCTCCCTGCTGCTTCCCTCCTCCCACTGCCGTCACCGCTGTCTGTGCCCTTGACCCCGGCCCTGTCCGCAGAGAGCCCTGCAGTCCCTCCAGATCCTGGCTGCCGTGGTTGGGAGGTGATGGGGTGCCGGGACATAGCAAGATACATGGCAGGCCCATCTCCCCTCCTGGGTATCTGACTTCATCCAGCACACCTGACGGGCGGTAACGCCGTCACGCTGGCCTGCGGGAGCAGGCACGTTCCAGCCCTGGGCTGTCCCAGACTCATGAAGTCTGTGCTCTTTCCCTTGTCCTCGCTCTTGGCATCACATTGGACCCCGTGAGGGTGAGAACATGCTTTTCTTCTGGGTGGCCTCTCAGGCCAGCCTTCTGGTGCCAACAGGTAATTACAGGAACTTGGGGGTTTGGGGAGAAACCCCAGACCCGCTTCCGCACTCAGAGTCCGTGGAGGAAAAATCCCCTTGGCACCCTGCGCATAGCACAGTGCCCAGCTTATGGCAGGTGACAACAAACATCTGGTGAAGTGTCTGGACCTAAGAAAGCTTTTAGCCCAGTGGCAAACCCGCCATCAGTGGCGTGGGCCTCGGAGTGCAACTTGTTAGTAAGTGAATAAGATGACCCTAGTTACCCTTCAGTAGCTCCCGCAGCGGCTACTGTGTCTTGAGCGCCTACTCTGTGCCAGGTGCTGGCACCTTCCGTGTGTGGCTGTCCTGAGGAGGCAGGTGCTGCTAGCAGCCCTACTCTGTGGACCAGAAAGCTGACACCTCGGAAGTGGCAGCACCAGGCCTGGACCTCAGGCCTGCCCAGGAAGCACCTGCATCTCTCCCATGACCCAGTTCTGCCAAGCATCTGTGAAGAGTCCCCCTCAGCCAGGTGTCAGTGGGTGGAGAGGGAAGTGGGAGCCCAAAAAAATATGAGAGACAGCCTGGCCCCAGGACCTTCCGGTCCGGCATCAGAAGTCAGTCAAACATGCAGTACAAGAAGAAGAAAGAACAGCCCACTGCTGGATCCCATGTGAGGCACAAGCCAGGAAGAAGCAGCCTAAGATGAGGATGAAGTGATTGGGCTTAGCCTGCAGGACGGCGCGATTTCCCCATTTAGAGTGGGGACAGGAGGCTGAGAGAAAGGTCACTTGGCTAGGTCCTAACGTGCTGTAGTCCAGCTCCAAACCCTGTCCTAGGCTCTCTTAAACCCAAAGAGACTTCCTGGAGGTGGTTTCCTAGAAAAAGGTAAGCTTTGGCAGATGAGAAAGCAAAGCAAAGTGGAAAGACCGAAAGAGTGCAGACGTAGAGCACAGTCTTCCTCAGCCCCCAGTACGCGCCCTGCCCACCTTCCTGGGACACCTGAGTTATGCTAGAATTGACACTTCCACCAGGACACCAGCCTGGCGCCCAGGGGATCACCATGCCCACGCTCCCTCGCCAGCCCACCTCAACCTCAGCTGGTTTGCATCCCAGCACTCCTTCCTGCTCTGACGTCTCCTTCCAGCATCTGGGAGAGACATCGTGTGTGCTGTGCTCAAGACAGGCAGGCCTTAGAGCCAGTTCCTGCATGGCCACTGGCTGCCCATAGGGCCCAGATAATCCACCCAGGCTCCCATTTTCTGCCAGAGTTGCAGAACTGGTGGTTGAGGTTGTCACAAGCCTTGGCCAGTGTAGGGAAGGGCCCTGGCACAAAGTAGGCCCTCAGGAGGGGCAGGTAGTGTGGGATCCGCAGGCCAAGTCTGAATGTCCACTCCCAGGCAGCCTTAACCTTGGCTAAGACGACACTGAGGTGATTGAGACACGGGACTAAATCCATGGGGCTGGCAAGGAAGCCCTCTAGGAAGAAGAGCAGGAAGAAAGGTGGGTGTGGGGTAGGGAAAGGCTTGATGGAAAAGGCAGAAGCTTTCGAGGCACTTCTGGCACCACAGAGAGCTCTCCATTTCCCTGGCCCAGCTTACTGTCCCGGAAAAAGCCACGCTTGTCCTCCTCTGCAGTGGGAACAGCAAAATCCCTGGCCGGGCTGTCATCTCCCGTGACGCTCACTGCCCTCTGCTCCACCCTCAATGCACCACGTCCTCTTGTCCCTCTCAGCGGTCTGCACCAGGGGCCCCACTAGCAAGCAGAGTTCCAGCTGGGGCCCCCAGACCTGGGGTGGAGCAGGGTGCCGGCTGGGGGCCACAGCACTGACCCAAGGGTGGGGGCCCAGGTCAGGCCAGCTGAAAGAGGCTGGAGAGGTCACTGCCGTTGACTTTGGGCACAAGTGGGCTTGACCACATCCGCCAGGCCTTCTGGGGCCTCCTGTGTTGAGCACAGGCCAGTGGCTCACATCCCCGGGAGAGAAGCCACAAAAGGAACTGGCCTGACAGAGTCAGCTCACTGCAGCTTAGACTGTGGCTCCTGTCACAGCAACTTCCTCCCCGAATCTTTCCTCTCAGTCTTTTCCTGCAGGCCCGCTCCCAGCCTGAGAAAACCACGATGTCCTTGTTCTCAAGGCCAAGACAGGGGGTTCCTAGAGTCCCAGAAGATGCATGTTGGTTCAGGGACTTCACAGGGAGCCCTGCACCCAAGGGCTCCTCCGGGGACGGGCTGAGTCGAGAGCCAGCGGTGAGAAAGGAGCTACCTGAGAGGCCAGAGAAAGACCCCGTGAGGCCAGAGGCTAGGGCACCCCACCAGGCCCACCCACCCTATCTTTGGCTTTCCCTTCCCCCTTGGTCTTTGGGGCAGAGATTTGCACTGGTTCAGGCCTGGAAATACCAGAAATACCAGAAACTAAAGTCGTCTCTCTTTGGGCGGCCACAGCACAAAACCAACCAACGTGATCCTGCTATTAACCTCGATTAACTTGGAGAAGATTCCATCTCGGGCTGTCAAGGCCCCGTGACTCCAGCCAAGCCCCCCTGATGCCGGCCTGAAATGGCCAGGCCAGGGTGGAGAGGGGGCATGAAGAGGGGGCAGCAGGCAGTACCCCAGCTCCGGGGCTGAACCAGGAACAGGGCGTCCTGAGCCGGAGACAGCACGGCTCCCAGCCCAGCGCCCGCTTCTGCTGCCCGTCCACAGACGCGGGCACAGAGGAGGTGATTGTTTCTGCCTGACCACGGTGACTGCTCCCCAGGGCAACCGAGAGCACAGGCCTGGGTGTCGCAGAGGTAATTGCCAACCACGGGGCCCAAACCTGCCCCCTCTACTCCTGTGGACACAGACACTCTGGCAGGAGACAGAAGGACAGTCACGGGCACACAGAGGCCCTCACAGGGGCCGGGAGAGGAGCAGGGCCTGTCTGGTCGCGCACCCAGCCCGCCATGCACACACCACATATGCACACACACTCCCTCCCTCCACCCACACCCCCAGAAAGAGGCTCCACAGCAGCTACACCCCTGAGGCACGGTTCCTAGGAGGATGAAAACACCCATTCAGGCAGGGGAGAGGGCGAGCACCAAAATAGCACCACGGAGGAGTTGGCGCGGCAGGGAAGAGCCGGCGGGGCGGCAGCCAGGTCTGCATTTGAGTCCTGCTGTCACTTCCTGGCTGGGTGACTGGGGCCATCGTCCTCTTCCCAGAACCTGCATTTCGCCATCTGTGAAATGGGCCCAGAGCTCCTGGCAGCAGAGGGCGCCTGGGCAGCGGGCACCACCCAGCAGGCATGCAGTAGGGACGTTAATATGGCTCCCCTTACGGGAGTAAGGGGAGTCGTCCTGAGCAGACCGACCTCAGCAGGAACCGCGGGAGCAGCCAGAGGGGTCAGCTGGGGGTGGGCACAGGTTTTACAGGACGCTAGTGGACAGTCCAGCTCAGTAGGTTTGTCAGCTTCCCTCTGCACGCTGACCTTGTCTCTGTAAATAGCGTTAGCATCACTGATCAGGAGAGGCTGTGGGGACAAGCACCCCACCCCACAGTAGCAAGGGTGCTGTCTGCTGGCTCAGCCTCCTACTGTGTGACCGCACAAGTTGCCTGGCCTCTGTAAAACGGGCTGGGGTCCTCACAGGCGTGAGGACAGGAGACAGTGGCAGGCACATAGCAGGTGTATGTGGCTGGTGAGTCAGGGGCCTCACTCTCCCAGGACCAGCCCCAAGGGGGGCCCATGGAGAGCTGGGAGGAGCCCCAGGACCCAGCCCTGCCTCCCTCTGCCTCCCACAGGGACTCGGGAGGCGGCCTTCGTGTACGCCATCTCTTCAGCAGGTGTGGCCTTCGCGGTGACGCGGGCATGCAGCAGTGGGGAACTGGAGAAGTGCGGCTGTGACCGGACCGTGCACGGGGTCAGCCCGCAGGGTGAGTGCGGCCCGGGAGCGGGTGCGCGGGAGGCGGGGCCTGCGCTGCGCACTCACGCAGGGGCGCCCCCTCTGCCCACCGCGCCCCAGGCTTCCAGTGGTCAGGATGCTCAGACAACATCGCCTACGGCGTGGCCTTCTCCCAGTCGTTCGTGGACGTGCGGGAGAGAAGCAAGGGGGCCTCATCCAGCCGGGCCCTCATGAACCTCCACAACAACGAGGCTGGCAGGAAGGTAGAGTGGCATCCCCCCCCTTGACTGCCAGGGCAGGGTGGGCACAGCCAGGCCCGGGAACACCCTCCCACCTACATGAGGTCTAAACCATTTGCCAGGGCTGTCGCCAGCACCAGGCGTCTCTTGTAGGTCAGTGGGGCCCAGGCAGCAGGCTGGGATGTAGATGGGGGAGCCAGTGAACAGGGGGAGGTCCAGTGCAGCACCCTCACACGCGCATCTGAGTGCAGTGTGTGTCTGCCCCGCGGTCACATGCACGCCTACTGAGGGACAGAGCTAGGGTTCGCGCCCCCAGCCCCACCCCACCAGAGATGCGCGCTCCACTGTTGACACCTGCCGCCTCCAGGGCCCGGTGCAGACTCCCACCCCTGCCCTGACCTCTCCTGGTGGCCCCTGTCCCCTGCCCGCCCCTGCAGGCCATCCTGACACACATGCGGGTGGAATGCAAGTGCCACGGGGTGTCGGGCTCCTGCGAGGTGAAGACCTGCTGGCGCGCCGTGCCACCCTTCCGCCAGGTCGGCCACGCGCTTAAAGAGAAGTTCGACGGCGCCACGGAGGTGGAGCCGCGGCGCGTGGGCTCCTCCCGCGCGCTGGTGCCGCGCAACGCGCAGTTCAAGCCACACACGGACGAGGACCTGGTGTACTTAGAGCCCAGCCCGGACTTCTGCGAGCAGGACACGCGCAGCGGCGTGCTGGGCACGAGGGGCCGCACGTGCAACAAGACGTCCAAGGCCATAGACGGCTGCGAGCTGCTGTGCTGCGGCCGCGGCTTCCACACGGCGCAGGTGGAGCTGGCCGAGCGCTGCAGCTGCAAATTCCACTGGTGTTGCTTCGTCAAGTGCCGGCAGTGCCAGCGGCTGGTGGAGCTGCACACCTGCCGGTGACCACCCCGTGCCCGCACCACCTCTGGCCCGGAAGGCTGATAATTTAAACAGTTCCCCACCACCACCCCAAAAGATACCGGTTGTATTTTTTGTTTTGGTTTGGTTTTTGGGTCCTCATGTTATTATTTATTGCGGAAGCCAGGTAGGCGGTCCCAAGGGCATTGCCGCTGACCAAAAGGAACTTGCTCGTGCCTGTCCACCGCGGCTGCTGCTGACCTCCAGGCTGTCATCTGCATCTGTTTTGCTACTTGCAGACTTGAGATGGGTGGCGAGGAGCACCACGGCCACATGCCTACTGACTCTGCCGTCTAGGGGAAAGTGGCCAAGAGGGCAAATGGTGCCGTTGCGGCGGAAGCTGCAGCCCCGCGCCCAGACGGACCCCTGGCAGCGTCAGCCTGGTAGCCTTGTCTCTTGAGCCCCCAGAAAGGGAGTGGGACGTTACCGGGCCAAGGGCAAAGGGTTTACTGCAGCCCTCCGTGAGCGGCTGGAGGTTCGGTCTCTGTGGGACCTTCCAGAAAGGAAGAGCGTGTGAGATGGGGCCGAGGGAAGGCCACAGGGCCCCCCAGAGCCCGGACCACCGGCCTCCCCTCAGAGAGGGAAACCCCACACACCTCCGTCCCGCCCAGGCAGGGACACTGGCTGCCTTCCTGAGTCGGAGATCCCAGCTGGGTCTTCCCAGTGACACCCCCACTGACTCACCTCACTGCTCCTCCTCTGTGACAGAATGGAAGCCGCCCGGGAAAGTGCCGTGACAAGGCTCTCTCCCAGCCGCTCTCACTCAGTGAACCAAAGTGCCGAGCCACACTGCGTAGTATGCCCAGTAGCAGGCCTCTCACGTGCTGGGCTCGAGATTGCCGGCAGCTGGGCCAGACAGGGAGGCCTGGGCCTACTTTACAGCTCAGGGCATGTTCAGCCCAGCCCAGAGCGAGCTGGCCGAGAGGCAGAGCCCTCCACCGAGGCACCTCCTGGACCCCTCTGCCCAAAAGCCCAGAAAATGCAGCTGAGTCTGGGACTCAGGGAGGCGTTTCTGACTGCAGGAAGAAGGGTAGGATGCAGACCACAGGCCAAGCTGGAGCTTCCGTGGTTCCTGAGGGGCGTGTGGCTCTGGGGGTGTGGTGGGCAGCTGGAAGGCTGACAAAATGAGAGCCCTGCAGTGGAGGCACCCCTGCCCTGAGTGCCATGGCTCCTGAGGCTCCCCCAGAACAGCACCAGCACTGGCCCAGGCCCCGCACACCAGCCAGGGGTCAGGGGTCCAGCCCAGCCCAGGCTTCTGTGAGCAGGACATGAGCACGGCAGACCTGGCCTGCCCACCCGCTTCTCAGATGGGCTCCCAGCCAGGGAGGACTCCGTCAGCAGCTCTTCAGGCTGCCCCCGCAGGGCGGTTCGAGGCGCTGGGTTGCAGGTCTTGAGCTCTGGGATCCCCAGGCTACTGCTCCAGGGCTCAGTGTCTGAATTCAAAATCCCAGACTCAGAGGCAGGCTCTGGGCCATAGCTGTCCTCCAGGCCCTGCAGGTGGTGTTGGCTTCCTCACCAAGAGAGGGTCACCGATGGCCTCATGCTCCTTGTTCCATGTCCATTCAAGAAAGAGGCCCAAACCAAGTGAGATACCGAAGCCTTACTTGAATGGGGCGAACCCTAGCTTTGGGGCAGGTCGTCTCTGCCATGGATGAAAGCTGAGTAGAAAAAGTAACACCACAGCTGCCCAGTGGGGCCCCCCCGTTCCTCTAGTGGGCTCCGTTCTCAGTCTGCTCAAGGCAGGGAAATTTCTCTCACAGGCAGACCCAAACACAGGAAGCCATGAGAAACTCCCCAAAGCCAGGAGAGTCATGGGCCCCCGTGGGGGCTGGTGTGATGAGCACTTCCCCAGGAGTAAGTGGGAGGTTCTGTGCCCCTTCATAAGTTTGACACTTCTGCTTACTGGGGGTGGGGGCTCCTCAAAGCTGATTCTCTAGGGAGCTCAGTGAAGCACACTAGATTCTAGGAACCCCTGCCCTCTTCCTCCCTGTACCTCCACCAGCACCCCAGAAGCCAAGGGATCCACAGCCAAGGAAATGGAGTGTCCATGGACACGCCCAGTCCCAAGCTGTCCCAGATAAAAGGGAGGAGTAACAACACAGGCCTGACATGGCCCAGCCCCCTGGGAATGGGCCAGCACCCAAGTTTAGTCTGCAGTCCTCTCCACGGGTCTCGCCCCAAGCCAGAGGTGAGGTGCTCAGAGGCCCAGGGCTCTGCCACCACGGCTACTACCCACGATGGCTCCACCTCACCCTCTGGTTTTATACTAGGCTTCTTGCCATTGGACACCCCATGAAATAGCCTGATGCACGAACGATAAAAACGATTATTTCTTTATCTTGCAATTGTGGAAGTGGCTTTTTTTAATAGAAGAGGGTGACAAGACCTTAGGGAAGGACCTGGGGAATAACTCTCCTGAGCATCACAGGAAAGGAATTCACCTGTGACGCGCAGAGGCTGTATCTCCATTCTGCTCGGCCATGATCAGCTGTTCAAACCTAGGCCTAAATGGGTTGGCCAGAACCTTTTATGAGTGTTCCTGTGGAGAGACTGCCACGAGTGGCCGCCGCTACAGGAGGTGGGGCGCTAGTGGAAGGGAACTCATTGCCAGCCAGGGCACAAAGACCAAGGTCTGTGGCCGGCAGGTCCCCTTCAGGAGACAGAAAAGCCCAGGGGTCAGGATATCCGGGCAGCACTAGCAAGGCTAAGGCCATGCTGCCTCAGGGCACCAGCCAGGAAGATTGAACCAAGGTCCAACATGGGCGAGCAGCAGGGCTGGGGGGGGTGCAGGGCCACAGAGGGCGGAATAGAGGCAGTGGCAGCTGGAAGCAGCATGTGTAGGGGCCGAAGGTTTCAGAATTCCCGCACTGGGCCAGTCTGCAGAGGGGCCCTGTCCGGATTCCATGCTTGGCAGTTGCCCTCGGAGCTCAGGACTAAAGGCCTTTGGGAAGGTGTGAAATTGTGTGGTGAGGTAGGCCTCCTCCTCCTCGCCCCTTCTTGACAGCCAGTGGCCCAAGGGAAGTCTGGCTGGGTGGAATGGACCAAGGAAGAGCACAGGAAAACGGTGCTGGGGGAGGCTAAGGGACTGGGCGACAGAGCAGGGCCAAGAGCTACAGAACAGTGAGCAGGCAGAGGGTGGGAGACCAGACACAGGAACAGAGAACGTGACTAGGAGAGGAGGGTGCTGAACGCAACACAAACAGGCCCACGCCGGGTGCACACTCGCCTCCCTGTTTGCTGAGGGGCCCAGTGGTCCCCAAGACTGAGGTGGAAGGCACGTGGGCGGAGGGACCCAGCTCCTACCTAGCAAGAGGACAGAAAGTGTTTCAGAAGGCATCCGAGTCAAGAAGGGGGGTGTCTAAGACATGTGGGGCAGGGGGTGTAGTGCGACCAGGCCTGGCCCGGCGATGACTTCATACTTATCTCCCCCCACCATTCCTTCCTGAGCCGCCAGCTTTGGTGACCCCCTGCCCGCATCTCTAGGGTCTAAGCCAAGCAGGCGCTGACAGGGGAGAAGGGGCCCTTCTGGGCCAGGCCCCCAAGCCTGGCATAGTGCCTGCTGGGGAGGAGGGGCCTAGAGGCCCGGCCCTTGTCAGCATCCAGGCCGGCACTTTGGAGGCAATTAGCAGCCCAGCTGAGCTAATCCCCCGCCTGGCGAGGCCAACACAAACAGGCCCAGGCCGGGTGCACACTCGCCTCCCTGTTTGCTGAGGGGCCCGGTGGTCCGCCAAGAACAACACCAATAACCCGGAGCCTTCTCCAGGTTAAGAGGAGAACCGGGGCTTGCTGAAGAGCTGATAGTACCCGACAGAGCATACTCTGGCCAGGTGCCCTGGCTGCCCCAGAAAGGCTGCCACTGTTCCTGGGCCTTGGGTCCGCCAGCAGGAGAAAGCTGGGCACAAGGAGCCATATACCCTGATTCAGCACCCACCCCCACCCATACCACCTGTGAGGGAAAAGGGTCAACCCATCTGTGCCACCTTGGCCAGGCCAGCAGGGCCTGGGCCATATGGTAGAACCCAAGGGTCCGCGCCAACATGGGAGCCAGAGGAGATTCATTCATTCCTGGACTCCGCTCGGGGACTCGAGGTCTGGCATGGAAACAGAGGTGTGTGACCTTGGCACAAAGCCAGTCTCTAGCACCATAAGTAACCACCCCTGCCCCGGACCTAGAAAAGCTCTGAAACCCCAACAACTGAGAAAAAAGGGGACCCAGGTGAAGAAACACCCTGGAGCAAGCGGAAGAAGCAAAGCTCCACCCGTGCCTGCAGCGCGCTCCCCCGAGCCGCTGTGCCAGGGTGACAAGCCGCCCCGGGGCCCTGCCCCGGCTGCTGTGGCCAAGCCTCCAGGTTGAGGTCCACATCTGCCAGAGAGGCCGTCAGTTCCTGTCCGCAGCAGGAAGGGGCTGACGAGCCGGTTCCAAGCCCCTACGGGCTTGCTCCCATACCTGGCTTTAGAACATCTAGCCTGGACCAAGGTATAGATGAGTAATGAGTCCTTCTACCCTTCAATTCAGCCAAAAAGGGAAGCAGCTTTCAAAATGACCTTTTACTATGAAACTGAAGAAAAACAAACAGACCCTAAGTACAAAGACACAAGCCGATTCCTCAGCAGGACTTTAACCAGCACTAAGCAGGGCACCAGAGCCGGGCTCCAACCTTCCCGCCTCAGGAAGATGCCTCTTTCAAGACTGCCTAGAGGCCTGGGCTCTCGTGCTTGCTCCACTGGAGCAGCCTGTGGGAGCTGAAGCATGCAAGGAACCTCTAAATCTCATCTGCAAGGAGATGAAGATAATGGCAGAGCCGGGCGCCAGGACCACACCCTAGTCTGGTTCCAGAGTCTTCTATACCGCCTCCCCAGCCTGGCCCCCAGCACTGTGGCTGCTGGAGGGACCGAGTGACATGACGGGAAAGGGCTTCGCAGCCTGGAAGGGCGGTGAGACACACTGACAGGCAGCCTCAGCCAGCACACCAGCTCTGGCCTAAGAGTTCACCGGGGTGTGGAGCTGGCATTGTAGGTTCCTGGGCTCATCAGGTTTCCATGACACTAGAATTTGCTGGATTGCTCTTCTCCTGGGAGCTTTCCCATTCCTCCTCTTCCCTCCGCCCAGCACCTCCTGCAGCCTGGGCCTCCTCCTCATCCCCTTCTTGGACAGCAGCTGGAGCCACCTGGGAAGCTTCAGGGGTGGCTGATGGTTATCACAGCCAGGACAGGGACAGGGCGAGTTGCTGCCCCTCTGCTCCTCACAGAATTGGAGTGCATCCAGAGAAGTGACCGGGTGGACACTGGGCTGCTATGACAAATTCCCGGCGCTTCAGTCCAGAGAGAGGGTGACTGAGAGGATACAATCACTCGATCACAAGGGGTGAGGAAAGGGACTTGAGAAGAGCTCTGCAAAACAAGCACGACGTGGTGGAAAAAACCTGAGAGCTGAAGCCACATAGCTCTGGGAGCAAAACTCTTCAAGGCCTCTTCCTTGCTGGCTGACCTCAGCTTCCCCATTTACACTCTCAGAGGCTTCCAGAGGGGGAGCTTTGTGAACCAATCTGTGAGGTGTCCAATCACCGAGCTCCTGTCCCTTCACTTCTGAAGGGGACCTGCACTCTCCCCTTCCCACCTGGAAAGTTATTACCACCACACATTTGCTCACAGCACCCCATATGCCCTCTTCTCAGCATCTAGGATAGGCTCAGACTGGCACCTGGCGCCCAGTGTCCAGGCTGCGTGGGTGCCTACTGGCAACCACAGGGGATTCAGTTTGCTAGGAGGCCCCCAGCACGGTGAGGGAAAGGCAGGTTACTCCCTCAGCTTGTCTTCATGGGTCAGAACTCCGTCCAGTTCGTCCAGCAGGATGCCCCCCGCCTCTGAGACACAAACCCTTTGCTTTGCCAGTTCTGACAGTTCAAAGTAAAATGCCGCGAGTAAAATAAGCACTTCAAATTATATACGCCATTTACCCACTGGTGATTCTAACAGCCTGCACTCCCTTGGGAGAGGAGCCCGTGGTTAAAAGCTCTGCAGTCAGCTACCCCAGCTCTCTCCCTCTCTCTGTAACTCAACAGTCAGATCAGGCTATTGTGAAAGTAAAGCAGGTAACATCAGCTGTCACTACTGCTAACACTTGAGCGTGTTCCCACCGCCATCCTCTCACCAGAGCCTGCGCCACTGAGCCAATGTTTCAGGGTGGGCACCCAACTTCAGCTTGGCAGAGCTTTATCAACCTGCACTTCCCCTCAGATGCGTAGTGCATGGTGCTACCTGCTTGTTCATCTGGACCCTCAGCTACCCACAGCCCCCAAGGACCCTTCAGGGTGGGATCTGAATCTTCTGCTGTTCTGCTTCTCTGTTCTGAATTAATGTCACAGAACAGAGGTGCCACCTCTGAGACAAATGCCGTGCAACCAGCTGCTGAGGGCAGGCAGACTGGCCGCCGGGCTGATGTAGCCAGGAGCAAATACAGATCCTCGCAGCAAAGCTCTAAAACAGTACAGCTCTGTGGCTATCTTCTCCAGAACAAAGGAGCCAGGACAGTAGGATGAGCCATCTCCATCCACTACAGTCCCTGGACTGCACAACCCCACTGCTTTTTCAGAGCCCAGAGAGCCTGGCCTGGGCCTACCACCACCACCACCAGCCCCTGCACAAGGCCTCCCTGGAGCGCCAGCTCATGTGGCTTTGTTATGACGCCCTGGACAGTCATCTGACCCATGGTCTCCTGGTCCCCTCATCTCCGAGTGCCTGAGGCCGGCCAAAGACAACAGTATGGACTCGTTTCTTTGGGGCCCACAGAGGAAGGCTCCCCAGCACCTGGGAGCAGCTGGGAGTTGGAACTCAAGGACTCTTTGCTGCGGGCCTCCCCTTCCCGTGCCAAGTGCATCTATAAACAAACGTTGTTGAGTGGTGCTCCCTGCAGCTACTCTCCAGAGGTCAGAGAGAGAGGAGCAGGCTAGAGTCAGGAGAGCTCATGGCTCACAAGTGAGAGCTGCGCCAGGCAAAATGTAGTCTGGTCCCTGGGTATGACCAGACCTGTGCTGCTGGCCCTGTGCCCAGAGCCTTGGATGGCTTCGCCAATGCCCAGGATTACTGCCCTGTGCCAGGCTGCTGGGTCCCCAAGAGGCATGGGGCCTGTGTCACACTGCTGTAGGTCCCACTGTTTTACAAGCTGGCAGAGAGAATGAGCCTGCAGGGGCGGAGATGCCTGGACGCTGGGCTGTTGTGCGTGATCCTGTTTGCTATAAAACAGCCAGACATTCCTGGGACCTGGACTCGCGCCGAGGCCATGGAGTTAGCCTTCCCGGCCATATATCTCCAGGCGGGGGACAGGCCTGAGACATC